TATTAAAAACAAATAACACAAGACATCCTGCTCGCATCCACAAAACAATATAGGTATACTATGCCACTGACCGAGTGCCTTATTATATCAACATATTATAATATACATACTTATACTACGGTCGTATTTTTCGTAAATTTTCGGATCTCCGGTACGACGGCTGTCGTGATCGAGTATAACAATAAATATTATACTTATGTGCAGCACGTCAGTTCGAATAGCATACATATATATTATATATATTATATATATGTAATATTATTATAATAATACTTTGCTGGTGCACGTGTGTTGTCGTGACCTCGCGGCAGGACCGATATCAAACGGGCCATAGTCGGCACAGTGCATTATACGTAATAGTAATGATACATACGTATATATTATATCATACTGTTTATACGGCGAGAGAGTTATTGACCTTTTTAATTGGTTCGAGACGTTCGCGGTGACATTTCGCGATCTCAATATCGATACGACGTATCTATATTATATTATTATACACACACAGACGCGCCGCCCGAACACGTGCAACAAACGATTATCAGTGATTACAGCAGTGATAAATAATTTTAAAAACCGTACACCGACTGACGATTTGATTTATTCTTTATCAATTTTAAACTACAAATTTAACAGAACATCATAGTAATGTAGGTATTGTAGAACAAAGACTATAGAATTTCTACTCGTATATTATTCTATTACCTGACTAAACTCGTTGTATGTACTCAGCTTATGTATTATTATTTTTTAAGTTTTCAATACAATACCTATCTAATATAATATTTATACATACATCGATATTATTTCGATGTACCTACCTATATATTATTATAATATTATTTTACCCTGGATTCAGATCATATTGTTTCAGCGTTATTTTATACAGTTTGAACGATTTATTAAGTCTCGGCAGATTTAAACGCGTTATTGAAAACGTTCTGCTCATCGCTTATTCAAACGAATTTCTTTTCGCACCCTCCATGATGGGTTTGTGGCCAACTGTACACGTGTGTGAGTATAATATATATATATATAGGTATACAATATAATCTTATAATATTCACGTCCCAGTGCAGATATTGATTATGCGCTCGCAGTGTGATTTAACTATACCATAAAAATAGATCTCTATCTCCGTTAAACGATTACGCGTTTTCCCCTCTTTCTTTTATCAGTCCGTTTTCTGGCTCCAGCAAAGGTTTAACGTGAATACGCGCCTTAAGGTCTCGCACTATTTACGATTTGGAATGACTTTTATTTCAAACGTTTTTCTCTATCTGTTAGCATGCATACCCTTCCGAAATTGAAACTTATGTTACTCGAAAACAACGAATGTGCCGGAATTCTGCATATAATTTTCGTTTTGCCAGAACCACCGACTTGAACCGAACGACGACCTAATCTCGAATTGGTCTGGGCGACAGACGTATTGCACGCAATGCAGTTTAAATTTAAAACCCTATTGGATATTATAATTTCGGGCAAAACTGATAGATCCGTTACTCGTCCCAAAGATAAATCCCAAATAATGCACATATTGTTAAAAGGTACAACGTTTATGGTTTATCGCATACACCGACGCTGGCCATTATAATAATATATTGTCATAAAGTTTAAAAATGTTCGGTCACTATAGTTGTCTTGAAAAGGTCTCTTATTGTATGGTCGTGAGCTTAGCCTTGAGACCAGTTAGTTATTGACATGTTTCTAGCCAAACAATTTTGTCGACCGGTTTATTTTTTTTCTTCACATTATATTTTCATGTACCTACTATTTATATATAACTTACATCGTGTAAATGTTTATTACTAATAAATATATATATTTTTTTTTTTTGAATTATTGCGTTTGACTAATTTTTTCAAGTTTATCTACCAAATATGCAATACTTACAAGACGGGACACCTACGCCGAACTAAATTATTAAATTACATCAAGCAAACCCACCGACTATAAAATTTGATCATGTATAAATCACTCTTTTTGCCAAAAATTATCTTATAAATTGAAGAAAAAATAATATTAAACTGATCGAAATTATATTTTCTGGTTTAAATTTAGTCTTGTCGTAAGTTTAGATGAAAGTAAAAAAACTTTCTTCGCTTGAACATTTTGATTCACTATAAAATACGTTGGTTATTCAAAAAGTAAGTTTTCTATGCTATGAAAGATCATACAATTCTCAACAATTTAAAAAAAAATACGTATATTTTAATTACAGCTGCAGGGTATAAATTATTTTTTCTTACATAATAGCCGTTCTTCCCTATACATTTTTGGTAACTTGGCACAAGTTTTTTTCAAACCATACCTCTTAGTAATAATAGGGTGTGTAATTTTTACGGAACTAGTCGATAACTTCAATGGTGACTTCAGTTTCACTTCTAAACGATTTTCTAAGATACAACGCTGCTATCGTTTCATTAAAACCACGATTTAAGGTATATCTATAAATATCTTAAATCGTGATTAAAACTAATAAAATACACACCTGATTTAAACAATGTTATGTCATTTTTTTAAAACCTTTTACCCATCATATTACTGGCACGTACATTTTTTTAAGCTTGGATTACAAAATGCTGACACTTGGCCAGAAAAAAGTTCGATTCTCATCTTATGCATTATCAATATTATCAAAACAAATCTACCTCTATATATGACTATACCGACAATCAGCTGGTATGATGTTCTGGTGTATTAATATATACTTGTGTCACACCTTTAAACGCTATTACTATTACTTTAAATGAAAGTACACATTATATAAGAGACAAATTAAAAAAAAAAATAGAGTTAATAATCGTCCAGGTTTGATCCGCATAACTGTAGAACAGCAAACCCCCTACGGAAGTGTCTAAAACTGGCAACAACTTTCTGATAAACACTGTTTAACACGGCGTTTTTGAAAACCACTGAGGTTATATTTTATTTAATTAAACGATGGGTACAAAATAATTCTAAAATTGTTAAAGTTGTATTATGCAAGTAAATTCCTTTACCTTGTTACCAGTTCTCTTGCCAATTCTTGATAGGCTAATATTATTTATTATTTAAGCAATATTATTTATATTGGATTTGAACTTGGGCGTTTTTGCTGCAACCAAAAACAGAGTATACTAAACCACTATTGCGTTTTACACTCCAGTGCACAGTAATTCCTTATCACTGCACTGAACTCGGAGTCAAATAACGAGTTGTCGTATAAACTTGTTTCGCTCTCTTATTAGGTACTTTTTTTATTTTTGTTTCTCCCATCTTTCTCACCGTCTCTCTCTCACACACTGTATTTCTCTTCCTTGGTCTCTTATTCTGTCTAAAATACTTATATTATATACGTGTGATATAACCATACGTAATACGTCATTGAGAGAGATAGGAATAAAAAGAAGAATCAAATGTAATGCGCTGAAATGATGATATATCATATATTTTGTAGGTACCTATAACTGAGAATGCAGCCAAGTGGAAGCTTCTATTAGGCAACAATTGTTTCCAAACGCATATAAACCCTGGGGAACTTTACCGCGCTTATGTGTGTGTGTGTGTGTGTGTGTTCAGAGAATATTCAACAATAATAACAATAATAATGTGTATCAATAACACGATTCTAGACATTTCTTCCCTTCAGTCGTCGTTAATAATTGTCAGCGCAAATAATGTTAGCTTTTATTTATTTATATTTATCAAAATCCTTTAGGGATCAGACAGTATAAGTGCCAAGCCGAGTGTGGAATTTCTTATATAAGTTTTTCACTTCTTCCTGAACAGTTTTTAGATGCAAAATACCGTGAAGGTTGTGATTTCAGATAAGCGGGGAATTCGTTATTGTTCTTAAGGTATCTAATATTTTTCAGACTGGAGGTTTTGACATCGTCCCATAATTGGTGCCCGTAGAACCATATTGTTTTTTAAGGTATTTGTATTACTATAGGTATATATTTTATCGTTAACTAAATAGCGGGGAAATTTAATAAATAATTTTATTTATGTGGCTATAAAAAAAATGTATCTATTCTCATTTATCACTATAAAAGTATACATCTAAATTAAATAGATTTTCTGAAATAAAATTAAAAGTTGTATGTAACAATCTTTTACTATAAAATAATTAGATGCAGGAAGCCAAGAACTACTAATGTTAATTTTAAGTACTTTTTATATAACTATTATTTCCATTGAATGAGTAAATCAAGTTCATTTTTTTGTACAAAAACTAACAGTTGTAACAAAATATACAATAGAATGCAGTTCGTTTTATAAAATTTTTACTTTTTTGTTTTTTAAATTTACCTTTTAGTAAGAAATATTAAAGCTCAACAGTTACAACTAATAACTCAAATATAGAAGCACAGAGAACAATTAAATTCTATTTTTTCTTAAAATTGTATATTCAAATATCAATAATAATAGTATATCTAGAATTTGAACAAAAAAAAAATAATCAGGGAAACACATGTTATATTATACTAGGTAGATGAATTATAATTATTTTTATATGTCTATACTCGATGTATTATATATAGCATAATATATACATACTATGTAAATTTAACGATATGGTACTGAGTAACTGGAACTCGACACGTCACGCTAAAAAAAATGTTGCTAGAGCAATGAACTTTAAGAGAAAAATAATTAAATTTAAATGGCCTATCTGCTATTTGTGTAATACTGTAATGTGTATTTAATGATTGAATATTTTTTGAAAAACAAAAACATACATATATATAAGTAGGTCTGCAACCAAAAAGAAATTATGTCAAGTTTGGTTTTCACTTATATTTTCAGTGCAATTGTGTTATACTTTTGACTAGTGATTCATCAAATTATGCGAATACATTCAGTTTTCTTGATAAGTGAATGTGACTGTACACGAAAACAACCACGACGACTGTGACGGTTCCCAAGTTGAGTCATACCATTGATTTTATAATATTATACTATTATACCATTACTATAGTATATTATGAAACCAATGGTAATACTCATGTCTCATCGTAGTGGTAGGTATTTTGAATTTTCTATACATGTGTTATACATATTGTTGTATATGGTTTATTGGTATTCGCTTATCGAACAATTTCAACCGGAAGTCCTGAAAACAGAGAAAACAATATTGTATTATTTTATTTCTTACAAATCAACCATATAACATCATTATAATATAAAATAATTACTACGAGTTTGAATGATAATATGCATTTGAGCGTATATATTGTAGTACTGGAAACGAGAATATAATTTAGTGATGGAGAGTAGGTCATAAAAGGAATAATAAAATGTTTGATCATTTTTTGGTTATTACCTAAACTAACTCTTGGAAAAGAAAATGGTTTACATATGATTTAGTTTTTGTCCCCAACAACTGAAAAATTGTTTTAATTAAACATTTTTATTGGTAAATTAGCTGTAAAATATAAATTATGTTATTTTCGTTCCTCTTTTACCTATAAGTTATGAGGTATTAGTATCTATGTTGATATTAGATTGATTAAAGTATTAAAATTATATCAATTGATAATAGTATGCTCACATGATGTATTATGTAGCTACATCAATATTTTAAATTCACCATCGAAATAATGTATAATGTTTTTAGCATTGAGCAGTTGAATTGCAAACACCTGATTCTGAAAAAATATGCAGCGGTCAACACTCAACAGTAGTTAATGTTAAACTGTGGTAATTATTGTATGCATTTAATATAATGATAGAAAAACCTATTTATTATTCCACCACGTAAAATAAGTAATATTATACTTACCATAAGTATAAACACGCGTGTTCGCACCGAGTTCTCTCCATAGATAGAGGTATACTAAGGCACTCAGCTATAATGATCACGAAAAAATGATTAAATAACTACCACATTTTGTTGATTCATACCTAACTAATTACTTCTTGTTAACAATTAACTACAATAATTTATAAATTATATTAGAATTTATAATTTATCTATTATTATAAATTAATGACGTTGTTAAGTTAAGTACATGGTGAACACCGTAAGCGCATATTTTCCTTATATTTTTAACAAAAAACATAATTTATTTTAACATTTAAATAACAACGATGTAACTATAATAAATTATGTTTTTTTTTTTTTAATTAAAAATGTTACAATAGATACATAACTCAAATTATATTGAGAAAGTTATTGTTACCAGAATTGTATACCGATTAAGTACCTATTATGTTCAATGTTCATGTACCAAATTGTATATTTGCTACCACCTGTTATACCTTGGCGTAAACATATTATTTTAATTAGATTCAGAGAACAGATGACTAGATGAGTAATATTATAGTGACTATCACCACCAAATGTTAAATTTATGGAAAATGTTAATTTTTTTATGAAGTTTAATCGCACAATTTCTTTCGTACCAAGACTGTATAGTAGGCTAGGATTATTCTACTTGGAAGGAAAGGTGAACATTTATACAAGTATAATGTTTTCTCTCTAAGGGATATATTTTAAAAGTTATATTTCACAACACCCTCCAGCACAATACATTTGACCAATTTGGGTGGTCTGCAAAAAATATACATATTGCAATAAACGTATACAATCAGAAAAACAATCGTTGGTTTTATTTAGTTTCAAGAATTTAAAATTTAGAGTGAGTCAATATAAGTAACCTCTAAAGAACCAAAATAATACAAAGGGGGTAAAATTATTTGGGATTTTAATTTTCAATGTTACCTAGCAACGTAAAAGCGTGATAAAAATTAAAAGGTTTCTTAAGAGCTTGTAAACCAAAAACTCAAAGGGGGAAAATGAAATATTACGCCCTCGTGGTTCGAATGGATTTTTATCGGTCTTAGAGTTTTATGCGAATATTTATTTTTTAATAAATTACTATGTACAGTACAACCGCTATATTATTATTATTCTCGTTTTTGTGTTTTTTAATAAACCTGAATAAATTCAAGTAGCACAAAACCACTTGGACGGACATATTTTTTCCTCCAACATTTTTGACGTAGTGCGGAAAAAGCAACGACTGTTAACAAATGTTAAAACGTTAATGAATTTTTTTTTCAAATATTTTCATTTAAGACAGTGATCCCAATAATATATTGGTGTGTAATAATAATTATTATAATTTATAATATACCTATGGAAAATAAGCAATTAAAAGTAAAACAGTTGATCATAATAATTAATACTGGTTATAATATTATACCTATATATTAATATTGTAATTCCATGGAAGAGTACTCATTTCCAAAGTCAACACATATTTAACCATTTAACGTAATAAAAATAAAACCATAAGAACTGAATATATAGTATTATATTAATATTATGATCAATGAAGCGTTTATTGTTTAAAAAAAAAAAAAAAAGTTTTACTATAATAGTGCAATAAAATTGGTAAAGGTAAGTGTGGTAATCAAAATAGAATAATATAATACGTAAACACAAATTAAGTGCATAATATAATATTTCTTACCATTTAATAAATATAAAACTCTACCTATACTTTAAACACAACATTATAATATGATATTATAATAATAATAAATGTTATTGACCGTAGCAAGGGATTACATATTATTTTCATTGGTCAAATACACAATCGTGAAATACGAACGTATTTAAAATTTAAATTGACGTATAAAAACTCAATCATTAAAATAATTTATAATAATAATAATAACGATCACGATAAAATGTAAGTATATTGTATGGTATAGTAATTCGAGCAAGGCGCTACGACTGCAAAACCTGACTCATCATTAATGCATCAACTAATTACTAATATACATAATACTCGTATTATAATTATCTTCAAGCCCAGCAACAGCCTCAGTGGCATAATATAATGATATATTGTTTGTACTCTTTTTATTTATTTTCATTTAAAGCAGCCGTATGTGACACACACACACACACACAGATATACACTATATTTGATTGAGTTTTGTATACTATTATGTCGTACATAACACATGGTTAGATACTGAAAAAAAATATACATATAATAGACATACAAGAACTTCCGAATCTTATGTGATAGTATAGATATTATCACTCTTAAAATTTTGTTTCATCAATTGTAAAATTCCGTTAGTAAATAATACGCATAAACATTCTATTGCAAGCATAATATATTATACAGACTTGAAATCGAAAGTATCCCTCGATCACGGTCATAATATCAGTCTTCCGATACATTATTCTATTTTGATTTTATAATTACTAATAAGTAACAACTCAACTAACATGCTGGTTAAAAACTAGAATATCAATAAAATCCAATCAGTCTTATAAAAAAAACTGATAATATCATCTATAATAATAAAAATATATTATGTTATTTGTACGAATAACAAATACCACTTGATAAGTACAAAAAATTAAAGCGAATCACAGTTAAACTTTGATTTTTAATTTTTTTTGCAAGAAAACGCAAGAGAATACTTCATGTGACAACGTTTGGAACGGGCTGAAAAAGCTGCTCTTGTCCGGGTGAGTGTGTGACTATATGTTTGCGATAGTTGTTTGTCAATAATAGCATCCGGAGATGAAATATCTCAGAACCTACTATAATATAGAAGACCATTAACTTGATTTTTTTGATTTGATTTAAAGTTTGTTTATGGATGACATGTACAAATCAAAGTACATATAATAACTTCAAGCTCAATAATTAGGTAGGTGCTCTCAAAGCAATGGATTAAATGAGACATCTATAAGATTAATGTGAGCATTTATTTCTAAGTTCATTTTTAAATTAATAACATTCACATAATTATGTCACTATTATGTAACATTTTATAGGTTAGTACTTAGTATACTATGTTAAGTATTATTAACTACAAATTTTTACTATAATACAAAAAAAAATTAAATGCGTCAATTCCTTCATTGACGCATAACAATGTCTTGTCAAAATTATTTAAAAATTAATCATCTCAAAAATATGGATTTTAATTTTAATTTTAAGTCACTCCTCCCTCAAATGTCCTCTTTTTAATTAAAAATAAAATGAATAAATATCAAAATAATTTGAATTATGTGATTCTGTTTTTTTTTTTATGCGTAATTTGTTCTTGTTTAACTTCTAGACCTACGTTATAACATACGTTTTAACTTTTGAATGTAGTGATAGAGATATCTACTGACCCACACTTAATTTGGAAAATGCTTTATGAATGTTTCTAGTGTATCTAATAATTGAATTGAAGCAAAATAGAAATTATACTAAATTAGCACTAAATTTTGCATACATATCTAATATTTGGTATCCCGTTGACGGTTAGTAAGAATATTAAAAATATTCAATATTTAGAATTAGAAGCCATGATATAAGAGTTATTATATTATATAGAAAGCAAAGTTTATGGCTGAGGCTTATAGAATTAATAATAACATTCAACCGATTTTGACGATCAAAAAAGGTTTGGATAATAGATTGAGATTTTAGGGTGGTTACCGGCTGTTAATAATATTAAAATCATAACCGCATATTCGTTTATTTCTGTTCGAAATTGCTTCACGCAAAAAAAAAGTTATTTATTAGTAGTAATAATGTATTACTATCCGCCGCAGGTGAACTGTCCATATCGGAGGGTTCGTTTATCCCCGAATAACGCCGGATTACAGAGCTAGTACATAATATAATAAAATTTACCTAATAATATTGTATCTACGGTGCACAATCCTGTGTACAGCGGACACTCACGGGACCACAAAAAGTGTCCGTTATTGACAGGTCCGGACAGGGTTCTACCTATTACTTTGTATTACATATCTTTTTGCCGAGACATTATCATATTGTCCGAGGTCCGTGAAGTTAGCGGAAAAATGTGAGCACTAATTTCCGCTTTACCTCCACTATTTAGTGCTCAATTAGTGCTAATCAACGGAACTATTTTCAAAATTAGTGCTGTAGTCAGTCAAAAGTTACAGGGGGGCTTACCTTTCTCCGCTAACTTCACGTAG